TTTATGGATTAAACTGACATAAGCCTAAAATGTCTGAATTTATGACCAGAAGTGAGGATTGCTTTTTTTTCCTGCTTTTTATTTGCAGATGGTTATTCTCACATGTGGTTGTCAGAAACAATACAGAGATTCCATTCACCCTTTGCCCAGCTTCCATAGTCATATCTCACCCAACTCCAGTGAAATATCACGAGAAACCCACAGAACTTACTTAGGTTTCACCAGTTTGTTCTGCGTTCAAGTGTGAATTTAGTTCTATGAGATTTTATTCCTTTTATAGACCTATGGAACTTCCATGCCAGTTAAAAGTCATCACTGTGGGACCTTTTGATAGCCATGGCCATCTTTCCTGTCCTACAGCCTAAATCCTGGCATTGATGTCAAAAGATGACTCCCACATCTTCTGATCCAATAAACAGTGATTATTCTGCCATTTGCAAATCAGTCTACCAAGCACAGTGACTGATAGTCAGGTACACAGTATGACCTGCCACTGAGGAGTTCAGGAGGGAACTTGACTGACTGGGTTCCAATCTTTATTGGCCACTGTGACTTTGGGAAAGTAAGATCATCACAACACAAGTTGTTCTTTAATAACATAGTGCTAATAATAGAACTATAAAAAATATGGGAGTGAGTGAGTTGATTTGTTTTTTTTAAGCAAGTGGAAATATCTGACATAAAACAAGTAGATAGATGCTGATCATCTAGGAGCTCAATCGTTCGGAGGATGGGCAAAATTCTAATTAGGTCAGCCTGTGTTAAATAATGTTTTGTAAATATAAACACAGAATAATATTCAAGGACAGTACAAAGAAGGAGCAGTAAACTCTAGCTGAGTCACACTCACAGAAAACAGAGTATTTGTGCTGGGCTTTTGAAGTCTGAGTAAGACTCTGACTGAAATAGAAGGGAAGAAAAGATGTTCCAGGCTGATAACCGGCTTTTCTGTGCCCCAAGGCGTGAGAGGGCATAGGCCATTCTGAAGACTGAAAGGCTCCTGGGAAACTGGAGGAACAGAGGGAGCCCAGCCTGACTGAAGGTTGGAATAAGGCTTTGGAGATGACTTGCAGACTGCACTGTGATTGGCACCCCAGCTTTGCAATTCTGGAGAAACCTAGAAGAGAACAGAAACGGGAAGGTGCCTCCCAAATGGGCCCGTGGCAATAGAGTCAGATGTAAAAGAATTTCCTAAATTAAAAATCCCAGACAGTGAAGGTCAGTTACACACAAGAGCAGCTGCATGTCACACACAGTCCTTCCTCTTATCAAAAACATCCATTCTGGAGCTTTCTAAGCAAAAGAATGAAGACTTGCTGTGTGGTTTCCCACACCTGGATCTGATCTGGCCCTGCCGGGGCAGGTCCCACATCAACCCAGGTGTTCTCAATCCCTGTCACCAGCTGCTCGAACCATCCTGTGCTGGCTCTCCAAAGGAAGCTGCTGCCTGGAGACTGGGTGCTTTCTCCTTTCTCTCCCCATCACTGGCAATGTCTGTTTTGGGTCACCTGGCTATTTGCCGTGGTGATCTCTATCCCTGGGCCTGCCTCAGCCTTCCTCGGTTTTCGTGCTTCACTCCAGAGTCTTTTTTGTCTGGGGCCCTGGCCAACTATGTTTGCTGAGACTCCAGTCTTTCTATCCTAGGTCTGTGGAGGTCTCCAGCTGTCTGTCTTTCACAACTTCCTCCTGCTTCTCTGGTCTCCGGTCTCCCAGTGACCTTGGGTGTGGCACAAAGAACAACAGCTGCTTTGAAAACTATGTTCTGCCATTAATCATTTGTGGTTCTCATTAGATAAGAAGAAAGGGGAAGGGCGAAGAGGCCTTATTTCACTTGCTCTCCCCAGCTGTATGGTTAGCTCTACACAGACTGGGGGAGGTGGGAGACGATATTCTTAGTAAGAGCAGAAACACCTCATTTGCTCTTTCATGGTTATATTCATGTGAAAAAGAAAAAGACACTGTAACAAAAGGCCTTTGCTTGGTGGATGGTAGTAATGATTTATGATTTGGCTTTGGAAACTAAGAAACCAAATAATAAAAAGTTGCCTTCCCTCCAAAAGGAGTTGAGTATATCAAATAGTCAGAAATTATGAGGAGGACATGCATCCAAGCAAGACTTGAAAATAAACACCCTCAAGAACCACTAAAACAACCCCTTGCCGTCTCCCTGGCAACAGAAATGTCTTCTTCTCTAGAATGGATGCTAACTGCCATGACATAATCCTGTCACTTCAAGTTATTCCAGCAGACATAGGACTTATCGGTACATATTGTCAATGCCATATATTTCTGACAGAGAAATCCTACACAAAATCCACTTGTAGCCATCAAGGACAAGCCATTCTTCACATAAATAAAGAAAACATTGAATTGTGTCATTTAGAGGGAAAGAAGGCACAATATGCCCAGATGGCCAAGAGCCAGAGAAAAGCAAAAAACGACAAAACTTTTCTAGTTTTATATTCCAACCCCAACAAATCCAATTATGTGTTTGGGAAAATAAACCGTTTTTTTTTTTTTTTTTAATCTCCCAAGTCCCTCCCTATCCAAAACTTTTCACATAATTAGACCTTATATCACTCACAGCCAGGCATACAGTGACAGTGTCTTCCTTACCTTCACCTTGGTAGGGGCAGCCTGTGAGGAAAAGATGAAAAACAGGAGCAAGGGTTCAGAAGAGTGACTTTTTTTTTTTTTTTTTTAATGTGATGGGTAAATCTATTTAGGAAATTGTATCCTGCTTCTCACTGCAAGGAGATGCCCTGGGATAAGAAAAGGGGGGCATTTCCTTTCCCTCCTGGGCCACCATCCCCTGCAGCCTCCCCATCTATGCCTGAAACGTGTTTTTGTTTTGCTCTGCAGGGCTGAGAAACAACCCCACAGCCTTGAACATGCTAAACACCTCACCACTGAGCTGTACTCAAAGCCCTTTCCAGGAAAGATTTTAATTGACTCTACTTTTCAAAAGTCTAAGAGCCTCTCAAATTATGAAGCGTAGTAAATCTCCCAAGAGTCTTGTTAAAGTACGTGTTTGGGGTCCCACCTTGGACATAGTAGTAAATAAGATTTCAGGGATTGGACAGGAAGCACATTTTAAACAAATTCCTTAAGAAATCCTGGGTTGTGACTGGATTTCAGCAGAATTTTAAAAGCATCAGATCTAAATAGTCCGGACACCAGGGTGTGGGGGGGGCACAGAGGGTCCTTATCTCAAGACGGAGGGCTTTCTTTGCTAACTGGATTTTTAGGCAGGCCCTAACATGGTAAGTCACACAGTTCACAGTACAGTCAGCACTTCTGAGAAGTGCTTCCTGGTCCCAAGGAGACTCTAGTTCCCTAGTATGCCACCTACTCAGTGGTATTGTAGTATTGTCACGACCCATTCCACTAACCTAATGTTTCAATTTGTGTCTTCCAATAGGCTTCTGTGGGCAAAGCAGTCATTTTCCCCCAAAGCCCCTGGCATGCAGTCAATGTCCTTTAAATGTGTACTCAAGCAAACCACAGTGTTCCAGGTCATTACCAAATAATCTCGGATTTTCCTGTAGAGAACCCCTTCAATGCTCCCATTCCTTGCTTGCTTGACTTACAATGCGGCAAATTTTCTAGCACAGAAACTGTGGGTTGTGTCTAAAATTCTCCTGTAACAGGGTGTCAGTCTTATGGGGGCATGGGAATGAATAGCAAAGGCTTAAATTTGTGATTATATTGCTATGAAGCTATTAGTTAACATTTTAATCTTCTTAATTCTCCTCTCTCTCTCTCTCTCTCTCTCTCTCTCTCTCTCTCTGTGTGTGTGTGTGTGTGTGTGTGTGTGTGTGTGTGTGTACTCATGTGCGCCACCCAGGACTTAAGGAGATCAGAGGACAACTCTCAGGAGTTGGTTCTCTCTGTCCAGCTTTCACTGGGGACTGAACTCAGGTTAGCAAGTTTGTGAAACAAGTGCTTTTTACCCACTGAACCATCTGACTGGCCCTTAGTTAATTCACATTTTTATGTTTCAGAAGGAACTAAGAATCCCACAGCCTCTCAGAGTCCACGGGTGTGTAGAGGAAGCTTCTCAAAGACCATTTTAAACCACAGGGAAATGTCCGGCTAGCTGATTGTTTAATATGGCAGGAAATCACCTGGTGTCCAGAAGCTCTGAAATGCTAAAACCAAAGCACCTGCGCTCTTACTCCCCCAGCTCCCAGCAGCTGGTTCAATCTGGCCAGCTCTTACATTTTCATTTTTTCCCCTAAGAGAAATAAACATTCCATGACTCTGAGGTTATATAATTGTTTGGCCAGTGGCTCAGGCATATTACTGGCTAGCTCTCTCTCTCTCTCTCTCTCTCTCTCTCTCTCTCTCTCTCTCTCTTCCTCTCTTAGATTAGAAAACTGATATTAAATGAGTAAGCCTAACAAGAAAACCTGAACTAACTTGAACCTGGTCTATACTCGCAAAGTTGTGCGAGGATTGGGGTGTCCAAGTGGTGTAATCTCCTCCAGGCCTGGGGTGCGTTCAGCTCGGTTCCTGCCATTTGCCTCTGGAACTGTATGTTAAGGATCGTAGTCAGCTCTGTTCGGATTTTGGAACACAAAAACATCCTTGAAGCCGGCAGGAGATAGATAGGGCAGCCTCATATTCGGGGACTCTCTTCGTGAGTGCTTGCAGAAGTCTCCTTACAAGAGGTAACCACCATCATGTCCACTCTCTGTGTGCCGAGCCCTGGACACCCCAGCAGGTCTGCAATCCTGCTGCTGCTCTGTTCCTGCCCCAACTCTAGGGAGGTCACCCTCATCTGGTGCCCATGGGGCTGCATAGAGGAAGCTGCAGGATGGCTCTCCCAGCCCCCCACCCCAGGTGTGCTGTGCCTCGCCCTGGGGGTGGGGTTGGGGGCACCGGCTCCTGCTGTGCACGCCCTGGCCTGGGCAAACTCCACACACCTGGCCACTCCACGTACTTCATTAAGGTGAGCCTGTGGTCAGAGCGCGGGCCGAAGAGTGGGAGTCTGGGCCATGGAACCCACGGAGACGCTCGGCTGGAAAACCAGGGGTGAGCACGCATCGGGGGTGATCTTGGTGAGGGCTTGCTGAGCCCATGAGGCCTGCTGGCCACTCTGCCAGCCTTAGGAGGCTGCTTAGGTCTGTGGGTGGTAGTGAGGAAGGGAGGCGACCTCACCACTTCCTTCTGTGTAGACATGGTCCCGGACGATGTGCTAGGGATACAGCTGGCTTTAAGGCTCTGACACTGCTCTAAACTAGGTCCTGAGACTTTTGGCCTTCTTTCTCAGTACACCGCGTTAGTCCAACAAGATCCAAGTTTGTTGAGCGTCCACTCTGTACCGTGTTTATTACTGGTCAGGAGACTAAACCATTGTAAAGATTATTTGTCCCAGTGGTCCTTGGTCCACCCTTCTCCCTTCACCCCCTGGCTGCCCCCACCACGCCCCCCAAACTCTCTGAAGTGGTTCCATGGTGTATTTAGAACCAGCTGGAAAAGGCTTCTGAGCCAGGACTTGCACCCCTGGCTTTATATATTGTTAGAAAGTTATTTGTCAGAGCCAACATCAAAGGCTTTAGTTAGCATTCATTTACACATTTTCTGGTTTCATGGGAAAGGACAGCAACTCCCTGAAGGGAATCTTCTTTTGTTATGAATATGTGAGAAAATAAGGGAAAGTGTTTGGGATCCTGGCAACAGTCTG